GTCAAGAATGAGCGGGGCTCACTGCCTCCCTCTGAGTCACAGTGACCACATCCTAACCTCTGCCCTTGCTTGGATTATCCGCAAAGAATAATCGTGGCAGCCAGCTCTCAGCCCAAAGCACCACCACGAGACCGGGCAGAAAGGCTTCACGTCCTCTCCACAGACTTCAGCCTCCAGGCTCCCACTAACTGTGTGTTCACTGATGTTCATCTTAGTAACGGCTGCCTACTCCTTCTCACCACCCATGTCCGTGTGTCCTACCATGATGGCTGGAGTGCTGGCTGTGATCCTGGAAGCTAGGCCATCGGTATCTTCAATACCAGCAGGGTTACCCATGGTGGATGGGTTTCAGCAGGGCTTCCAGACAAACTAGAAAGTAACGGCTGGAGACCTACGTCTGAATACCAGTCATTGAGAACACTGTGGGTCACAACCAAACTTTGTCGGGCTTGCTTGTTCTGGCTGTGTTATCAGGAGGGATCAGCCGCTGGAGGAAGGAGGTCCAGAGAGATCCAGGAGAGATGCAGTGATGTAATGGGCAGCAGAGGGCTCAAACATGCTGACGATCGTGCGGATGATGCAGGACCAGCCCGTGTTCTGTTCTGCTGGACGCGGGGCCACCATGAGTTAGAGGCAGCACACAGCAACGATCTGACCCCGTTTCAAGGACAGTTGGTAATGTTCAAGAGTCCTGGGAGACAGAAGCCACTTTTTGTGGCAGGGGAACTGTCTGATTTCTAGTGGGATGATTTGCATCCTGGGCTCCCCCGCATCTGATTGTCATATGTCCTCCCTGGCATAGACACAGGGAGTCTTGGTGACGCAGTGATTATAGTGCTGGGGTAACTACAGGTTGGCGGTTCAAACCCAGCAGCCTCTATGGGAGAACATTACGGCAATCTGCAGCCCTAAAGATGGCCCCTCTCCTCTGCCCTGTAGGGTTGCTGTGAGTTGGAACTAGCAGTGGGTTTTGGGTTTGGTGGCACTGAGGCTTAGGCACCGGGCTGCTGACGGCAAGGGTACAATGTGTGTCATAGTCACTCCTAGAAAGGAAGATGAGGCCGCCGGCTTCCATAAAGATGTCGTCTGGGTGCCCCTAGGGGGCACTTCCTACTCTGGTGTATAGGGTCGCTATGGGTTTGGGCTTTTGACGGTGTCACAGTTAAGCACTAAACTACTAAGTTGGTGCTGTGAGCCCATCTGGAGGCACCTAAAGGTCCCAGCCATGGGAATCCTATGGAGTTCTACTTGCACATATGGAATCGTCATGAGCCAGGATCTGGTAAAAACATGAATCTGAGAAGGTTCTGGACAGTAGCTGTGTCCTAGAGTCTCTGCAGGACCTGCTTTGGGTCACCAGCTGAGAAAAAGTGATGTAGAAACAGAAAAGTGCAGGCAGGCCCAAGTCTTCCCCCAGCCTGAGATTTACAGCCCTGTGTCTACCGTATCCCCCACGCCCACTGCAACCTAGGCTAACCTCCTGTGAGCCCCTCAGCAAGCCTCTTACCTAGCCAGCCTGGCTTCAGTTCCTACTTAGCCCTTGGTCTTGCCATAGTCATCCCTGGCAAGATGATACAAAGGGTTACAAAGTCCAAGAGACGTTAAACTTTGGGAAGCCCGTCACCTGTCCAGGTGAGTAGCTGGTGTCCTGCCCTTACTGTGTCGGTCATGTCTCCCTGGATTTCTGTCCAAACTGAAACATTTCTGTGTCCCTGATTAGGTGTGTATAGAATAACAACGTAAACACTTCCTTGCAGCACATAAATCAGGACTCACCACAGAGCCGCAGCTCAACAAATGCAGGCTGAGTGAATGAATGGTTTGGTGGAGGAACCAATGCATCTATCACTGGGCTGCTGGGCACACATAGTGCCGTAATGAAACAGAAGATGTCCATTCATATACGAGTAGCAACTTACATTTGGTCTTGAAAGTTAGAGATGATAAAACAGCTCAGCTGCTTAAGAAACAATACTTTCTTACATAGAGCTGGTTCAGCTTAAGGATGTATCTGACTGTCCCGCCCAGCGTAGAGGACACTGACGAATGGACAGCTGTCAGGGGACCACCACAAATAACTATAAGATAAACTCTACTCACGTAAGGAGCTCTGGTAGTATAGTGGTTACGAATCAACCTGCTAATCTCACAGTCAGCAGTTCGAAACTACCAGCTGTTCCATGGGAGAAAAATGAGGCTTTCTGCTCCCGTAAAGATTTACAGCCTCAGAAACCCTGTACAGGGTCACTAGGAGTCGGAACCGACTTCAAGGCACATCACAACAACAACTCACGGAAGCAGCAGTCAAGAGATCAGACGACGTATTGCATTAGGCACATCTGCTGCACAAGAGCTTTTTAAAGTGTTGTAGAGCAAAGATGTCAGCTTGAGGACTAAGGTGCGCCTGACCCAAGCCATGATATTTTCCATAACCTCATATACATGTGAAAGTTGGACAGTGAATAAGGAAGACCGTAGAAGAATTGATGCTTTTGAGTTATGGTGTTTGAGGAGAATATTGAAAGTGCCATGGGCTGCCAAAAGAACCAATAGATCTGTTTTGGAAGAAGTGCAGCCAGAGTGCTTATTGGAGGCCAGGATGGCCAAACTTGGTCTCTTAACATTTCAGACATAGTATCAGGAGGGACCAGTCGCTGGAGAAGAATATCATGTTTGGTCAGGTGGAGGGTCCGAGAAAAAGAGGAAGACCCCCAGCGAGGTGGATTGGCAAAGTGGCAGCATCAGTGGACTCAAGCGTGGCAACAATTGTGAGGTTGGCCCAGGACCAGACAGCATTTCTTTCTGTTGTGTATAGGGTCACTATGAGTCGGTACCTACTCGATGACATCTAACAACAACAACAACAAACTCCACTGCTGGTAAATCACATAAGTGGTTCTTTAGAATGGAGTCTCTAAGGCACTCTCCCACTCTTTTGAAATGAAGGCAGTTAGAACGAAACACTGGATGTCACCTTAGTTCCTGCTGAGCCCCAAAGGCAGTTGGAACACATCGTCTTGTCTGTTGCATTTATTTTAATAAAACTCCTCAGGTGATAATAATGAAACACCGCTATGCTTAAGGGCAGTTTTAACAGGATAGGTGAGGACTATAGCAGTCTCAAACGATGAAGCAAACCAACACACACAAACCCACAAGCACCCTCCGAGAAAGTTGAAACAAAGAATTACATTTTTTATTGGTTCCTACGTGTCCTAGCAGGGTTCCGACAGAAGCATAGATAGAAAATGGAGACAAGTGGTTTCAGAGGTGGTTTTTCAGTAACACCTTGATGGCGGCAATAAGGTTTTGCTTAACGGTCAAACGTGCACCCAGCCATCTCCGCAAGGGGGATGCTAAATGTTTATGGAGCGCCCAAGGCAGCAACGTGCACACAGCGCCTGGGCGCCAAGGGTTCTGGGCAAGTGCACATGGTCTTTCCCAGACAAGTAAGTAACGCCAGCGTGACTCTCTATTTTCCAGCCCTGGTCCCTCCCTCTCACCGGGCACACAAGGACATCACCAGTAACGTTTTCCTCCCAGCAACTACTTCATTCTCTTTGCTAACAACATTCTGTTCTCTTCTCCCACAGCCAGGACAAATACCATCAGGATTGTCCAAACAAGTGCATGGAGACCAGTGGCCATCCAATTGACTCTGACTCTTAGCGCCTCCGTGTTGCTGAGTTATGAACTGCTGATTGCCTGACCTTTCTTTCAAGGTACCTCCGGGTGAGCTTGAACCGCCAACCTATCTGCTAGTAGCTGAGCGCGTAAGTGCATTAAACAAGCTCTTTACTGGGAAGTCAGAGAGCCGGAACATGCCCGTGTTCATCTAAATCCATGTATCAGCCTGTAGGATGTTATCAAGCCAGCACAGAGAACTGGTAGTGTTCTTTGCAGAGTGTTGTTGAGAAGCTAAGGCATCCTGGTGGTACAGTGCGTTAAGCACTGGATTGCTAACTGAAAGGTCAGTGGTTCAAACCCACCGGCTCTCCATGGGAGAAACAACACGGCAGCCTAATTCTGTAATGATTCAGTCTTAGAAATCCTATGGCGCAGTCTGCTCTGTCCTGCAGGACTGCTAGAAATCAAAATGGACTCAAGCTAGCGGGTTTGGGTGGCTAGAGTAAGACACTACTTTCTACCTCCATAAGAGCCCTGGTGGTGTTGTAGGATAAGCACTGGACTTTTAACCCCAAGGTTGACAGTTCAAACCCACCAGCAGCTCTGCAGAAGCAAGATGAGGATTTCCCGTAAAGACTTACAGCCTCGAAACCCCTACCCAGGGTCACTGTGAGTTGGACTAGACTTGAAGGCAGTGGTTTGGTTTGGTTGGACCTCCATATAGAATGTTTGGATATGAAGAGATACTGCCAGCTTCCCAGCTAAAACAATACAATTGACAGAACGAGAGAGGAAAATCACCTCTTCTAGGTTTTGTTGCAAGTGCACCAATGTGATGTACAGAAAGCCTCAAAGACATGTGAGAGCAGGTGGTAGAAAGGGGAGGCTGGGAGTGAGGGGATGTGGGGAGGGTTCTAGAACTTTCCTCCTTTGTTGAATCTGACCTAGGATGAAAAGTTAAATCCTCATCTCATCTGAGGAGTGTCTGGTTCGGCCTGCCCAGAGATACCAACGGCTGTGACTCATTTTAATCACCAAGGACGTGCTGATGCCCCGATGAAGACTTTCCCAGCCCATATATTCTCTCCCATTAAGCAGAGCTTCCTCTAAATGACAAAATATCGATTTCAGATGACACTGTGACTTGAGCAGACATCTAAAGACCCTGTAGCATTTGGAGGAACTGACCCAAGCCCAAACTAAACAAATTCCTTTATCTTTTCCCACCCCAGGCCCCCACAACAGCAAAAAACAAAAAACAAACTATGATTTTCCCAAAGTCATAGAAGGCACAAACAGGTAGCAAGAAGCCGTCACTGGTGTGGTGTCTCTGCCGAGGGTGCTGAGCGAGCCACCTTCCCGCCGCCGTCCGTTCAGGTGATGACTGTGGGGCCCCTCCGGCCAGTTCGTTCGTGGATCTGGGATATCTTCAGAGCGATAGCTATGAGAGGGCTCAGCACCGCCTGGAGAAGGAAGAAGAGACAACTCGTGAGCAGGCAACTCAAGAACTCAAGGATTCACGGGAGATGGGGTGAGGATGGGTTTCGGCTACAGGTATCTGGATCCAGATTCGATTTCCCTGCAGAGTCATCCGAACAGGTTCTACCTTCTGTCTTTTCCATAAAATGAGAGGAGGACAATGATCTCCAAAGTCTTAGCCAGCTTCCCAAACAGTTCATCTAAGACAGGAAACGGTGCAACCCACCTGCTGGGCAGTCCATAAACAGAACAGAAGCTCTAAAAGGCCCCACACAGTCTCCCTTTGCTACATACACACACACACATGCTAGAATTCTCACATCTCTCTGTACTTTCTTTTTAAGAATCTGTTTTTTAGCTTTCTGTGTTTGTTTCCCTAACTCCTGGTGTGGCACTGTTGGATAAGCACTGAACTGCAAGGGCAGCGATTCAAGCTCAGCAATCTTTCTTGGAAACCCTATCCAGGGTTGCTGTGAGTCAGAACTGACTCAGCAGCACTTAAAAACAACAGCAATAACTAACCACAAGGTTAGCAGTTCAAACCCACCAGCTGCTCCTCAGAAACCTGTGAGGAGGAGGTTGCTCTTCAGAGTTATTCTGAGTCAGAACCGACTCAACATCACAGAAACCCTGTGTTTGCTGCCAATCATACCATTTCAACCAAGACAGAACACGTCTCCAGTGAGAGTTGTCTAGCTACAATATCATGTGACCTTTTTATTGATGGTATTGTCATGGTGAGTTTATATTTATCAAGTTACATGTTTTTTGTTTTGTTCCCAAGCAGAGCACAGATAGAAACACTTCAAAACAAAAGCACAGACTTAAGTAAAAACAAAGGGAGTTTAATGAAAGACACACACACACTCTGGTGACAGTGAGAGACAACAAGTTTGGGAGACACTGGAGTAAGGCAGGAAACAAGAATCCCAGAATTTGGGGAAATCACATCCTTATGTTGGGGTAGGAAACAAGCTGGGGAAATGTGGGCCTGTCAGAAGAAACAAGGACCCCACAATTCAGAGAAGTTCAGGAAGGGAGGTGATTCCGTTACCTGCACGCCTTAGCAGTCCCTAACAGATACAGGGTGGAAGGGAAGGTACGCATTCTAAGTCAGACAAGGGCAGAGGGCCAGGTGTGTGGAAGGGTGATCGGGAGCATCCTGAGACAAGCCTTGCTTCTTGGCACCTAGATGCCAGGGTCAGGTGCAGGTGCAGGTGCTAACAAAAATGAGTGCCTCCTTTACCTAATTCTTTAGGCAAAGGAGGCACTCATTTTTGTTTTAATTGGTGAGCTGTGAACCGCACAGCCTTTCCTGCAGACTGACTTTCTTATAAGAAATTGGTTGGCAATGTTTGGCTCACAAAACAAAACTTGCAGGTCAGGAAGGGGTGCTATGTTTACAGCAGTTCTAGCCGAATGTGGGAGTTGAACAGTTCCAAAGAGAAGCAGGATGTATGTTTCGTAAACTTTGTGCACAGTAATGTTTATATTTTCCTTCCATTTCCGACTGATCGGGTAGAACCTCATGTTCATTTCTCTCTCATCAATCACAGAACAAAGAACCATCCAAACTGTAATCATGTATCTGGTCCTGTCCAGCACAGAACAAACCAAAACAGGATGTTTTCAGATTCAGCTGCTGTTGTTAGGCGCTGCTGAGTTGGTTCTGACTCATAGTTACCCGGTAAAGGGTTTCTGAGGAACGGCTGGTGGGTTTGAACCAATGACCTTGTGGCTAGCAGTTCAGCGCTCAGCCCACAGCACTGTACCAGGACTCCTCACACCCTTGTGCAGGTGTATGCATCGTGCTTTTTGTGACCTCTCGGGCCCCCATTGCTGGTCAGCAGTTGTCCAATGAACTGTCGAAGATGCAGCATCAAACAGCAGAAAGTGGGTAAAATGTTAAGTAGTTTCAAGACAAAAACCATTCATGAAGCTCTGCAAAGAGCCCGCCAGACATTGTATACAACAAACGAACGAAATTATTTCCAACTGACTTTAAGTACTATTTCTGAAGTTTCAAATCAATTAATTTTTTTTTACTAATTTTCAAATATAAAATTTTCAGTTATCATCCAAATTTGAATGTAAATCTTACTTTGTTGAAGGCACATAACAACAACAGCAAAACAGCAACACATTATTTATTTTCAATTCTTCAATAAATTTGGCAGACCTAAATTTAAAAGGTGACATAATTTTATATCCAGCTAAAATGAAATGGTGACAACTTGCAGGAGGGAAAAATTGGATTTGTGAACCCCCGAAGACTGTTTCAAAATGAACTTCCTTTTTAAAACTTTTTAATGAATCAGAAGAAATGTCTTCCATTGAATGTGCGAGTTTAATGGTTGCAAACCATCGTGCTGATACCGCTAGTGCTGAAATTATTAATAGCAATAGGAATATAACAGAAGTTGTTCCAAATGCTGCATCCATTCCTTGCTGGAGTAAAAATAATAATGGTGTAGAAAGTGAAACTATTTTAGAATCTGAAACGGTCCCATCTACAGACTCCACATTATTGTGAAGTGCCATCGAGTTGATTCTGGCCCACAGCGACCCTGTATAAGGTTTCCAAGGAGCAGCTGGTGAGCTTGAACCTCTGACCTTGCAGTTCAAATGACTTTGCAATCTGACGCATTAGCCCACGGCGCCACACCAGGACTCCATAGATAGCAGAAATTCAGACTCTGCTTTGTGAAAGAATTTTTCTTCTTATGATGTAAACTATTGGCTAGAACGAGGAGCAAGTCATTATCAACATTGAAGTGCCATTTGAAAATTCATGTCAAAACTTCCTGGAAAATAAAAAAGTTCTGCACCCACAAATACATGTCTAGGGTGTAAGACAAATGGCAAAAATTGTAAGTGGGAGCAGTTACTGTATTCTCTAACAGTCAGCTGTGTATACTGTTTTGTTAGCAAACCATTCAGTCCTGGATCATTTAGTTCTTGATCTGCTACACAGATGGATTTAGTGATGGGTACAATCTGAATATGACTAACAAACATGAAAGCAGTTTAATTTGTACAGATTGTATGTTGTCGCAATGAAACCAAAGACATGGTTTTGGCTTTAACTCATGAACTGGAAACAAAAATCAGTGAAGAATGTCAGTTCTGGAAAGTCGTTTTGCCACGCCTTCTCGCTGTCCCCATGAACTATGTTTTTGAGGAAGAAGTGAAGTGTTTGGGTCCCCACAAGATGGGGGCTGGGTGCCTTGTAGTTCCTGTTTAGTTTAACCCATTTTTAGCAGGTCATATCTCAGAAAAGGTATCATAGAAAAGGACAAGCCATAGTATATGTCTAAAACACCCTGTAAAAAATTAATAAACTTAATAAGTGATAAAGTTCAATCAACTGTTTTCAGTGAAGTAAGTATAGATCAATTTGTTTGTCTGTAGATCCACTCCTAATTGTTCTCATACAGATCCACTGAGTAACATTTTAAGGACGTGTCTTCCCCAGATGGAAAACCTGTTGAGCGGTGGATGGATCACATACCCTATCTTATAAAATACTAGTGATGAAATCACAAAGCAAAGGTTTCACTATGTTTCACAATGTTGTAGGATGGAGTCTACAACATTGGTTTTTCTAAGAGCAGACGTCAGTCCTAAAACAATGCTGCCAACATGTCAGGATGTTAAAGAGGCAACAGAAGACATTTTAGGAACGTAATGAATATGCCGCTTTCATAATACCTTCATTCACATCATCTTGACGGGCACAGAGCAATAGATCGCTGCCCAGGCACAGTTGATATTCACTATCTTTCTGTTACTCTACACAATTTTTCCTCTGCTGTCTCTAGGAGTCCTGGCAATGGTGCTACGGGATAAAGCACTGGACTGCAAGGTTGCTTTGAACCACAAGGTTGGCAGTTCAAACTCACCAGCCGCTCCTTGGAAACCCTGTACAGGGTCACTATGAGTCAGAACCAACTTGATGGCACTTAACAACAATATATATATAGGGTTTCCAAGGAACAGCCGGTGGCTTTGATATATATATATATATATAGGGTTTCCAAGGAACAGCCGGTGGCTTTGAACTGCTGGCCTTGTAGTTCACAGTCCAGTGCTGATCCTACAGCCCTACACCCAGAGTCATGTATAATTCTATTACGTCATAAACTACAATGCTGATATCCTGATGCTGAAACTGCTTCACGCATATTCCTAACTTTAATGATTACAAAGTGCTCAACAGAATGCTCATTTCTGTCCTTTAAAGAGACTAAAAAAAACCCTCAGTGTACAACAGTGATTGATGAAAGAATCAATTCATTATTCTTATTATATATGGAAGTAGATGCTGCTTGGTGGCTTAACTGTGACAAAAAATCACTGAAGATTTCATGAGAGCAAACGAAAGAAAGGCACAATTTTAATGACAACATGTTAGAGAGGAAAGATCTATCTAAAAGAAAATAGAGTATTTTGTTGTAATATTTGTTCTCTGATCATTTAATTTCTTGTTGGCATTGTTTCATTTGTTATAGCATCTATCACAAAACAAGCCTCAAAGTAGAACTATAAGCTATTTTAAAGCAAATTTGGTAAAAGGCAGTTTTTTGTCGTGGAACATCAACCGAATTTTGCATTGGTTGTTGAAACAACAAAGGCCACTGACTCCTTATCTTTGTTGTAAATTATGTGGACTCAGCCAGGTGACATCACTGATGGCGTCAAGTGTGGCGGCGGTAGTGAGATTGGCCCAGGATCAGACATTGTTTCGTTCTGCTGTGCATGGGGTCGCTATGAGTCGGTTCCGACTCGATGGCACCTGACAACAACAACAACAACATTCTTGAATAGAAAATGTGGTATAGAGTCAAGTTCAGACTCTCCTGCATCCACTATGCAAATTTTATAATGCAGTTGATCTCATTCTGCTGAAATGGTTAACACACACTCTTGCATTCCATTTCAGATAGTATAGTTTCATCTAAAAAGAAGTTACATGCTGAGTATG